GCCTCTTGCTGATAGGAGTAAGCGAGCTCGAGGCGGAGATGCCGCTTCTTGTGCACCAGTGTGAAGGGCAAGTGGATCATGGCACAATCCCACTACAAGACAGACATTCAAGCAATGAAGGACAAGGATAAAAAAGGCGAGTCACGACAAGGACAGTCAAAAGGGTCCGCCAGGTGGGTGGAACGAAGGAAACCGAGAGAGCAAGGAGATAATAGGGTCAGGGAGGGAGAGGTATAGTGAGATAGACAGGGAGGGAGAGAGAGAGAGAGAGAGAAGGACAGATATCAAGAGAGAGACAGAGAGGAAGAGTGAGAGATACAGAGAGAGAGAGAGAGAGAGCAAGCGATATTGGGATACTTATATCGAGACAGAGAGGGAGAGAAGCACCGCAACATATAGAGAGACAGGGAGAGAAGGAGCGTGAAAGAGAGAGAGAGAGAGAGCAATACAACATGATACATATAAACATAGAAACGCAATGATAGAGAGATGGAGACAAAGAGAGGACGAGAGAGAGAGAGAGGCAGAGCAAAAGAGAGAAAGAGAGAGATAATACGAGTGAGAGGTTCCTCCTTGGTTCTGCTCATCCTTGTCCTCGTGCTGCTCCAGCTCCTTTCCTGAACACCGCCAGCTCCCCGCCGCACCATCAGGCGACCATCAAGCAAACGTGCAGTAGGGCGGCCTGAACGTTGAACCTGAGACTTTACTACACAGTGTCTGTTGCTCGAGTTCCAATGGTCCCTGCAGTTACAAGGATGTAGGTCGGGTTGCTTTCAAAATGCGGCTCTCGCATTTGCCTCTAGAGCCCTATAGAGCTACGGGATGGAGGGATGCTCTTTGTGAGCAAGTTTCCCTCGCGCCGGATGCCCTCAATCATCATGGCCATTAAAGAACGAATCGGTGCCCTTTCGACTTTGGCCGATCACGGGACAGGTTTTTCAATTTTCTGGTAACCTTTCCTTGCAGTCATTATAGCCAGACGGATTCACGCACGTTGTTCTCCGATGGACATGTGACGAGGGTTTGTTGGCCAGAAGTGCGCATTGCTGAACATCATGTGTTGCATCTTGGGTGTGCTCTGGCCCTCCTCATCCCTCACCTTCTCCCTCCGTGCCCTATCCTGGAGATGGAGGCTGAGATGTGTGCAAGCGTGCAGGCGGGGGCTGGGAAGGGAGCGGGCTCGCTGCTCCCCGCGAGGCCAGGAAGTACGTGGACCTCGTGAGGGCCCAGCGCGTGGGGCCCGTCAACGTCGGCGAGTCCCACGACGACGGTGACGCGTGCCAGCCCCGGCTTTGAAAGGTACAGGCGGGGCCTTGAAGAAGGAGCGCTTTTCGTTGGGGAGGGGCTCGGTGTTCCTTGACTGTTGTACAGTTTGCCTCGGGTTTCCCCTATGTTTTTTGCATGGGAAATCGAGGTTCAGCTTCTGGAAAAGAGGGGCCTCGTTCCTTATTTAGGGTTCCTTAGGTCAACGCCCCGACTGTACATACTGGGGACGCCTGGTGCGAATCATTGCCGCCCCTTCCACGCCGGTCGTTGAGAGTAGGTATTCTTGGATTCCCAGATCCCAGTATACTTCAAGCGCCTTCCGACTTCAAGAGTCGACATGTGTTTTTGCTGTGTTTTGTGGTTCTCTGGGAGGGCCTGGACCCAATCCACTTTGTCCGCCTTCCTACTTTAAATGTTTTTGCCTGCCTCTTCCGACCGACGTGTACTGGGGACGCCCAGTGCGAGTCGTTGTCGCCCCTTACCCTCGTAGAGGCTTGTGGCCGATATTTGACGGACAGCGTGTTTGAATGTGCCCGAATCGGTGTTTTCCCAATTGTTACCAGGACGACTACGCAAGCACAGGGGTCAAGCACCTATCTCCAACATGTGTCGAACAAGCTCCTGTAGCTGAGACAAGTACAAGGTGTCCCCGCAAGAGCTTTCTTGGGTCGTCTTGGGGCTATCTTGAGGCTCTTTGAGGCTCTCTCTGTCTGACGTTCTTGTAGGCCCTTTCGTGGGCCGTCTTGGCGAGATCTTAGGCCGCCTTCGGGCGTTCCTGGGCCCCCCTCGAGGCCACAATCAGGATCTTTTGGGGCTGTTTTCGGGCCCGCCAGGCCTACGTGTCTCTGGCGGCAGCGCCTGCGGAGAACGGTGACGCTATCGTGGAGTTCGATTTGCCCGACGTCTGCTGGCCCGCCGCCCAGGTTGGCAGGTGCCGAGTGCCAGCACCTGGCGGACCAGCACTTCCTTCGGAAGGTCAATCGCGTGGGCTTCAGCGACGTCGCATCGCAGTACGGTTGCTGGGTCACTCAGGTGGAGCACGCTTTCAGCTTGCATGGCTGCCTGCCAAACGTTGGCCCTGATTCTGTATTTGGGCGCGCTCAGGGTTTGAGCTCTGTTGGCGCCAATCTAGAGCTACGCCTGGCAGAGCACGCATGACCGACGGTGCTGGCGAGCGGTGGAGTTTAGTCCGCACTCTCGTTCAGCGATGTCATGCGTTGTTTTCTCATGACAAGGATTCGGCGCAGCAGAGCGAGTGCCTTCAGCATCTCCGCAGAAGCTGCGGCGGAAGTGCGTCCGCCTTTGCGGATGAGTACTTCGGCAATGGGCTTGAAGTTGTTGGTGAGCATAGGCGCTTGGTCTCGTGGGCCACATCGGCGGGTAGCGCTTCGCTGCAAGGGGCAGGTGGCCTCATCAGTTTCACCGAACGTGTGGCCCATTGGGCTCAGGGTCGTTGTTTGATTATTCTCCTCCTCATCCTCCTTCTCCTCCTCCTCCTCCTCCTCCTCCTCCTCCTCTCCCTGCGTGGGCCTGTCATTTGTTTTCTTGGTGGCCCGTGCTTCTCTTGCCGCGGGGCACACTGTCAGGAGATTGCGAGTATGGGCCTTACATAGGAAGGCGGTCGTCATTTTCGGCGGACAGGGATGAGTTCGGTTCCCCTGCATCCGCGCGCAGTGGGTCCGAACCATGGCCCACTGCGGCGGCATCAGCTGCATGAGAGGATCGCGCATTTCCGCGGAGTGGCGGAGCCATGTGGCTCGTGAGACCCATGGGACCTTCTGGTCTGCCCCCAGGCGGCGTTGCCTCGGGCGAGGCAGGGCCCCCCTGGGGGATCCCGTGTGCGCGCGCTCGGCGGCTGGCACCCCCTTTTTGCCCTGCCGCTCGTGTGCACGAGCAGACGGTTCAAGACCGTTGGCAGGTGAGCAAGGCCAGTGCAGCCCCCCCGCGGGGGCGGGCGAACAATGGGCTTGCGGGGGTCCCGCCAGCGGGGCAGCGAGTCGCTAGGCGACAGGCCCCTACCAAGTGCCAGAGTCCATGCGTCGAGCGGGGCTTCTCGTGTTTACCACGGCGCGACTTCTGCGCGCTTCGGCTCCTCCTCCTCCTCCCCCTCCTCTTCCCCCTCCTCCTCCTCCTCCTCCTCCTCCTCCTCCTCCTCCTCCTCCCTCCTCCTCCCTCCTCCTCCTCCTCCTCCTCTTCCTCCTCCTCGTCTTCTGCAGCGCCACCCCTTCAATCCTCTGGGCCGCCGAGCAGCGGCGCTCGACAGCAGACCGTGCGCATGAGATGGTCGAGGGCCCCACGGCGGCGTGCCGGGGCCCCGTCGAGCGGGGGCACGCCACGGGGGAGCGTTGGCCTGGCCCTTTGGGATCGGGCCGGCACCCACTCCGACATCTGCTGCAGGATCGACCAGACGTAATAACACGACGCGAAGCGAAGATCAGGACAAACTCGGATCGGGATAACTCGAAATCTCTCAGAATCGGCGGGTTTGGAGGGTGTATTGGGCGCCGCGGCCGCTCCAGAGCGTTCCGGAACGCTCTGAGAGCGCTCCGGAACGCTCTGGAGCGATTTATCCCGATTCTAGCTCTGTTTTAAAGACGTAAGAGTGACCTTTCGCCGGAGTGACCTTTGGTGCGGGCACAGACGGGCCCCCAGGTGGCCGAAAACGAAGCAGGAGCAGCGGCTTGCGCGCCCAGGTTTGGTCTCCCCGCGGCCCCCAGAAAGCCGCGCACCAAAGGTCACTCTTACCCAGGGCCACTCTTGCGTATAGCCGACATGATTCGGAAGGTCCATCGTTTTGCAGATGGCATGCCTTTGGAAAACACCAGTAACGAGCAGGTAGGCAGCTTGCTCAAGTTGGTCCCCGTCAAAGCCGCTGTCGTGGACGTCCTTGTTCCACTGGATCGGCAGAGGGTGCCTTCTGCTGGAAGGGGAGCTTACACCGACCTCCCTAAACTTCGTGGGTTCCACGGGCGCGTGGCCTGCGCAGATTTTGGGGATTTCTTTGCACGCCCCGTGGAGGCGAACGAGTCTTTGGACTTCCCCTGGTGGTCGCTAAAGTATGGAGCCGTGTCAGGTATGGGATCACTTCGACATCGTCTGACTCGTTGTCTGTTTTCTGGGGCATGGCCATCTCAGGCAGCAGCTCGGTCACAGCCGCCTTGCGGCGTTCGCTGTCTTCTGAGCCTACTCCCGCGATGGGTATTTCGACCGCTGCGTTGCTGCTCGGTGTCGCGAAGCTTCCTAACTAATTATGTGGAATGGGCGTTGCTTGGAAAAGTGGCCATCGGTCTTCTGTGTCCCGCCGTGGTGGTAGAACGAAGAGCTCTTGGAGCTGTTGACGCCATCTTCGCCATTCGTTTGTTGGTCGCGGGGTCCTCGCGTGCAGTACGTGTGGTAAATTCCTTCTTGCACCCCTTGCTGCAGCCGGCGCACGAGCGCGCCAGTTTCGCGGTCTTTTAGGTGTCCATTGACGTCGCAGTTGTCCGCGCGGAAGGCGCCGTCCCCACCGATGCTTACGACGCTGCAGTGGCCCACGCGAATTTATCAAATAATTATCGCCAGAAGATCACAGACCAATTCGAGTTGTCTGCTTCCTTCGCCGCAGTCTGGTCGCAGTGTTGCGAAGCGGCTACGTAAAAACAAGGCTTGTCAGTGTCGTTCAGGCACAATGAAGTCGATCTTGGAATTGACGTCTCCTGGCAAAAAGGCGGCCTGTGTTCAAGTCCCGATCAAGTTTACAAGTCAGCAAGCGGCGAGCTGCTCGCATTGCGCGCTTGCGCAGGCACGCGCAGTTGAGCGGGGAGACGAGGGCTGTGGTCCCCAGGCGCTTTGCCCCAGGGGCCCTACGGCCATGAAGCCCAGGGCATGGCACCGCCCAGCGTATTGCTGCTTCTGCGGCAAGCTGCCCAAGCAGGGGTCGGTCCTATGAATGGAAGGTGTTCGGCGACGGCGTTGGTTCTGTTGCATTGACAACAGGACCCTGGAATGGAGATGCGCAGATCCCTGGTCTCCGGGTGTTTGGCCGCGTGGGAGGCCGACCGCAGCATCCGCCGCCGCGCCAAGCAGGCGCGGCCGCAGTGGCGCCGCGGACTCTGCGGAGGCGGGCCCGAGGAGTGGGGGCCCGTCGGGGTGCCCGCTGCGGCAGTCACTGGTGTGCTCCTGCATGCTGGATGGCACTCGTCGCAGGCTCTCAGGTGCAGGAGACCGGCGGGAGAGCCGCCCGATGGGGTGACAGATCCTCGCCCCGCGATCACCTGGTCTGGGCCGGACTGGCTCCGGCACGTCCGATCGCCTCGACGACCCGGTTCGTGACCTGCGAGCAGCCATGTGGCTACAGGCGACCAAGCCCAGAGATGGCGCTGGCCTTGAAGATGGCGCTGACACGTGTTTTTTTGAGGCTGGGGCCCAACAGGTTCGCCAAGGCAGGCGAGCTCGGCATGTTTGGGCCCAACGCGCGCGTGGTCGCTGGCGCTCAGTGGATCGTGGGCCGCCTGGTGCCGCTGAGCGTCGACGACGAACGCGTTTGTCCGAGGTGCCATGCGGGGGGCGAGGCTCCGGGGGATCGCATCAGTCGCACCTGGCGGTGCCCTTGCGAGGGAGATCATCCAGACTACGTCACCCCCGATCGCATCGTTCCCCAAGCCATGGCGTCTCTGGAGTCTGGGCCGCACCTGCGGCTTCACGGCGTGCCACCAGCTCGTCTCGCGCAGCTTGTCATACAGGAACCTCAGAAGGAGCTAAGCAGAGCCTAAGTCGGCCCCTTGAGTTCCCGCGAGCGGTCCAGAGCTTTAGGCGCGGAGCCTTTTTTTCCGTTGGGGGGGAGGGCTCTGGAGGCGCGTGCCCCTTCGGATCCTGGGCGCCGCCGTTGCGGCTCGTCCGCCGCAGTCGTCCGCTGAGCTGGCCCTGATGAGGGTCCTCTCAAGAGGGCCGTTCCCGGAGGCCTTCTTAAGATGTTGGAGGGCCCCGTCCAGACGGTGCCTCGCTCAGAGCTCCAGGCTGTTCGCG